TCCAAACTCTCTTTGTTTCGCCACGTATAACTTTCTTCTCGACACGTGTTCTGATAAATGTACACGTGTCATCAAATTATGGATCTTCGTAGATATACATAATTGTAAGACCTGGTCTCTGTTTATTCATTAAAATCTGTTTTCTTTCAGACGAGTGAATTCTAAGAGCAGAACAGTGAAAATGCAATCTATTAAGGAAACTGTTGCTAATGTTGCTGCCTCGGCCAAGTCTGGCATGGACAAAACCAAGGCTGTCGTGCAAGAAAAGGTAAATTGTTAACTCGTTTGGTACGTTAAATTGAATAAGAGAACATGAATGAGTCGATAAGATGTTTTGTTCGCGTTAACAATGTTATTTGATGCAATTGAACAGATGGAAAGAATGACTGCAAACAATCCAACTGAGAAAGAGATAGCCACTGATAAAAAAGAAGAAAAAATCAACCAAGCGGAACTCCACAAGCAGGAGGTTCGTGAGCAGGCCGGTGGAACGCACTCCTATTCAACGACAGGGGAGAAGGGACAGCCCACCGGGGGACACCAGATGTCGGCACTGCCGGGACATGGTACTGGACAGCCCACGGGACAGGTCACCGAGAGTACTATTAAGTCCCATCCTATTGGGACTGCCACAGGAACTGGGAGGCCAACCACGGCGCATAACACACATGTCGGTGCCGGAACCAACAAAGGGTATGGCAAAGGTGGTGGTTATAGTGGTTAGGCAAGAAAAATGTATCAGAAATTTGTTTGTGTTGTTTACAATGGATCTTTGTCGAATTGTTCTGAATTAATAAAATATAGCCGTACAATTAGAAATCAAAGATTTTGAGCGGATGAGGACTTTCGTAAACCTAACCTCTTTTCAATCTGATATTTGCTATAAATATGAACTCAATGGCGATTCATCATTAATAAAACTACAGAATCAAAAATCGAAGGTTTCACTCTGGATTAATGTTTACTCCATTTTGTATCAAAATCGAAGTTGGTGATTAGGTTTCCATTTGTAGCCGCTGACACCAATTTGTTTTGGCGTTTTATTTTGAATAATAAAATAAAGTTGAGGTTTTTCTTCAACATCATAATTTGAATTATGGATATTCGTGTGAGAAATGGATATTTAATGACTTGCGATCGTGTTTTCGTGCTTCTGCGTATGTTAAAAAGTGGTGATGGAACGGTTATCTCGCAGTTGTATAACTGAAAATTGATTTTTCGATCTTAACTTGGCAGTGGTGATGGAATTTGAAAGAAGGAAAAGAGGGATGGTGGTAACTTGCTGTAAGATCATCACGACGGGTGGTGAAAGGTCGACGACAGGTAGGTTTTGGTCAATAATTAATGCTGTGCTGGTGACCACTAGGGTTTACCAACTATTGTAAAAGAGAGTCAAATTCCAATATTTAAAGAAATGGCCATGCTTCTAACGAATTCAAGTTGTTGGGAAGGGGCAAAATAACCATAATCAACCGAACCAAATGAAAAATTGCCATTTCAGTTAATCAATTCTAGTCCAATATTGACTAGTGTTCAACTCGGTTCGATTTTGGTTCAGTTTCACCAGTAGTGACGTGTGCGAGTTTGATTGCATTTGTCTTACATGACAAATGTCAATTTTCCACCCAAATTCTTACGTTTAAGAGTTTGAATACTATTTTTTTTTCATTGAAAATATTTTCTAACTTTAAAAAATATGACTAATTTTTTTTTTTTTTTAAGGATATCATTTCTTTAGGTGGAGTAGATTTTTGTTTTCCCAAAAAACAAAAAACTTCATATCAATCAAAAACACGGTAACAATTTCATTTTTTAAGAAAATCACTGGTTTTCAATTCGTTTCCTATCCTCTTCAGAACCAAACCATTTGAAACCACGCCCCCACCTATATTACCATGATAATGCTAACTTAAACTAGACCCACACTAAATTTTAAATTCCAAAATAGAGCACACGTACAGCAAAAATAAGAACTGCAACCAAAATGGATAAATAATCCAAGAGTCAACTGATACAAAGGTAGAAAAACTGAAATTGATAGCAGGAGTCTGAAATGTATCAACCAGATGCCTAAGAATCCTACAATAACCTCATTACGCCATTAACTTGTATCCATGGCCAAAAATCCAGTGTCAAACAACATGAGCAAGAACGGCAATGTGCTCTAAATGGCATACAACATTACCCTCCTCATGCCCCAGGTTGGCGCAACTCAGATTCCCCATGGGCGAAGTGGCACCTGTCTCCAAACGTGCAGGACCCTTTTGAAAAATTCTCACAAATCTTGGTCTTGTAGTTGCTCCTTGGGGTGGCAGGACCTCCTGTCTGTTTTGCTGGGCCTCCTGCTGGTTTTGCAGGACCACCGGCAAAGCCTATGCTACTAATCAGGTCTCTTACCATTGCACTTGCTTCCTTTATTTGTTCAAACGTACCCTCAAGCTCTATGTTCCTAAGATTTGGATCTGCCTCGTGATCTCTAATGGCTAACTTGGCTCCCGTTTGCCTACAAATCTGTTTAGAATTCACTCCCCCCTTCCCAATAATAGCACCGGCAAGGGAAGCATCCACACTAATTTTCGCAGTGGCCGAGGCCCCAAAACTTCCGGAAGGCAAGGGTGGATCCATCCTGCCACCTAATCGGCTGGGTATAGGTCCGACTGAGCGAGGATCTTCCTGAGATGGTGCAATAGGCTTGCCAAGTTCCCACTCTCCATGAGCAAAGTGGCATTTGTCGCCAAATTTGCAGCCTTCTGCAGTGTTGAATTTGTTGCAAATTTTAGTTTTAACAGCAGCTGAAGCAGATCCGTTCGACATGGTCGGAGGTCCTGTTGTCCTAGTTGGAGCAGGCGCCAGGTTCATCATCTGGGCAACAGCATTATAACCACCAGGAACATAGTGAAGGAAGTGGCAGCTCTCACCAAATGGACACCCGGCAGTGCTGTAGGAAGAATAAGAGATATATCGTAATTTAATTATGTACCATTAGGAAGAAAAATAATATCGTGAATATAACCTGCTGCCTTCTACAGGCACAAGCAAGGAAGACAAAACAAAAAAATACAACCACCACGTGCGTATTTCAAAAAGTAATATATGATGTAACAAACAAGAACCAACACATGGTTGAATGTGTGAATAATCACAAGCAACTGCCAGATACAAAGATCCCTCAAGATTTGAGTCCCAATGCGAAAGGAGAAGCAATTAGAGAAGGGGGAATTAAATGAATAAGATTGAAAACAAAATATAGCTACAAATTTTGGAGCAACTTTTGATGAGGTCAATCGAGTTAATAAATAGATTGCTTCGGCTTAAAATCTGATCATTTCTTTTTTCAATGTATTTTGATCGAAGGACCATCATTCAGTTGAATTACTTCAGTTTAAAAGTAGTTTGTTTCTTATGGATCAGAATAAATTCTAGACAACTTTGATGATAAATGTAAGATTTGGTTTACAGTTTACTATTAGATGAATGAGAAACGGAAAAAAATTGCGAGGATAAAAAGTGGGAAAAGAAAGATGAAGTTTGAAAATCTTCATTCATAAGAAAAATAATTAAAGGTAGAAGAAAATATATTTTTATAGGACCTATACTGTATCAGATACTAGGCAATTGAACTAGACTATCACTATATAAAGAGCATGATATGCAAGCCAATCAACTTTAGTGGCACAGCATCTTTTTAAATATACCTTCCACACTAGGTTTCTTACCACTATTTACATCATTTATATTTTAAATTATTATCCACCACCTCCGTCCAAAAACCATGGGAAATTTACGACATTAGATTCTTATCTTTGCAGTTTGGTCTGAACATATTTCCAATCCAACACTACTTTTTCTTCTCCAATGCTGAAGTTCTTAAAGCTCATTATGAGCCCGTTTGGTAAAGATTAAAATCCAATTAAAATTGAAAATATAACCGTTATTGGGTCTCACTCGTCTAGTAAAAGTCAACAATAACGGTTAATTTTTCAATATGATAGAAAAGTATTAAGATCATAATAAGTATTCAAAACCAAACAAAAATTAAGCATCTAAGGCCCCGTTCGGTAGAGATTAAAAACCAATTAAAATTGAAAATATGGCCGTTATTGGGTCTCACTCGTCTAGTAAAAGTCAACAATAACGGTTAATTTTTCAATTTTAATCTCTACCGAACGCGCCATATATCTAATTTATCATTCAAAACATTTTATGAGTACTCCTAAATTGAAATAGAAATCTAACTTCAAATCTAGAAACAAAGCAATGGAAGGGTTTGAAAAGGCTAAATCAGGAATCGAGCCGTTCTGCCTCCATGAGGAAAAATAATAGCAAGACCACCTGAAAAATGATAAAATCTAGAGCTTGTTTGGTAGAGATTAAAATCAGATTAAAATTGAAAAACTAACATTCATTGTTAACTTTTATTAGACGAGTGAGACTCAATAACAGCTATATTTTCAATTTTAATCGGATTAAAATCACTCCCAAATTATCTAATAATCTACAATGTAGCATGTCACGAAAAAAAAATTCTATTTTGCAGAGAAACATAAAATGGACGCATCAAAATAGCAAATAATACTTTCATAAAGTAGTTATCAAATAACTAGACCACTAACCACAACAACAAAAAGACAAATAGATGAAACAAGTTACAAGCTATTTGTGAAACTCTTCACATTCACGAAAAAAAAATCCTAAAGATAAAATGAAAATAAAAACAAGAGGTGAACAAGAAAAGTTGAAAAAGGTTGCAATTTCAATTTGGAATTCATCACACTTTAGTTGTAAGACTAGCATATGCTCGACTCTTCCTTTTCCTCTTCACTAATCTTGAGTTTTTTATTTTAAGTTCTGAAGGTTGATAAAAAAGCTGAAAAAAATAATACCATTCCATGCTGAAAACCCCAGGCTAAAAAGTCAAGGTTGTAGAGGAAAGCCTAGAGAAGACAGAGCTTAGGAGCACACTAAGTGGTCTTGAAGCGTGCACCAGAGTAACTCTAGACATAAGCCTTCACAACTGGCCATCAAAGAACAATCTTTGAGGCGCTTTATAAATGCCTCACACAAGGCATACATCAAGGCAGAGGCTTCAAAGGCACTTGATAAATGCCTAAAAGGCGCATCTCAAGGCAAAAGCTTGGACACTTTTTAAACAGTGATTAACACAACAGGTACAGAAAAGCTTCAAAAGAAAGAGTTCTAATCTAAAATCAAAGTTTTGCGACTTGAAACTGTAAAGCGATAAATTGTATTCTGACCATGCAAGATTGCTACAGAATTTGCCATTCCCAATATTAATTATTAAGATAAAAATTTCAGGCTTAAATTTGCGATGGAACACATTTCCATTTCTGTTTATGTAATATTAAAAAAGTAGTTTATGTAGTGTTAATTTTGGTATATTATAGGACTTCAAATATTCACATGGAGTAGCACCCTCATTCATTTAAAATAAGAAGGGAATAGTTGGCACTTTAGTGTTTAATTGCTTATCAAACAGAGAACTACAGTGCTATTGAAATATTCGTCCAAGTAGTTATCATACTCCTCCAAGCACGTTAAGTCTTCCGAACGTTGAAAATAATTAAGAAACAGTTCACTTGTCTCTGCTTAAAAATGATTGACAATATATAGAAGCAAGTGTTAATTTTGGTAAATTATAGGACTTTAAAAACAACTTATTGATATGGATGAGTAGTAATTGCATTCATTTAACACCAAAAGGAA